AAAAAAAAAAAAAACAACCACCTCCGGGTGGGATATACCCCCTCATTTGGTTTGGTACCTGGTTTAAATGAGGATGTGATTTGAACCTTTTTTCGGTCTGTTTGTCTATAGGGTTTATCTGTATGGAGAAAAGGGAAATTTTGTTAGGGAAGGATCTTAGAACCACTAGTCAAGAAATAAATCAAACCTAACAAGTCTAGTATATCCCACCTGATTTTGGCTCTGTGAGTGTGATGTATGCAGACTTGACCTCTACCTCTTTCATGAAGAGTTTAGCCCAAAAAGTGTAGATATGAGTGCGGAAGAGTTTACCTAAAAAGTTTGAAAGTGAAGGCCTTGAGGCAAGAAAGGTAGATACGTGTTTTTCAGAAAGCTAGTTATGAGTAAGTAACCACTTGTGAAGAAATATTCACATTAAACCTCGAGAGTTATGGGAAAGGCGTAATTGTGAGTGGCAATTAAAGAAAGCGGTTACTTCAAATCTCATGAATATCTCTAACTTGTTGTAAAAATTTGTCTTGTAATACTGGGGCTTATGGTTTCTGCTTATTTTCATAATTTTGACTATAGGAGACCCACCACAGTGGAAGAAATTCTTACAATCGAGATCAAACCCGGGTGGAAAAAGGGTACGAAAATAACCTTCCCGGAGAAAGGAAACGAACAACGAGGTGTAATTCCTTCGGACCTCGTGTTCATTATCGATGAGAAACCACATTCCGTCTTCAAACGGGATGGCAATGATCTGGTTGCGACCCAAAAGATATCACTAGCTGAAGCTCTGACTGGTTACACCGCACAAGTCACAACGCTCGACGGCCGAAACTTGACCATCCCGATCAACGCGGTAATCAGTCCAACTTATGAAGAGGTGGTGAAAGGCGAAGGGATGCCGATACCTAAAGAACCTACTAAAAAAGGGAATTTGAGGGTGAAATTCAACATCAAGTTCCCTACAAGACTTACTTCAGACCAGAAAACGGGGATCAAGCGACTGTTGACGGCTTCCTGAAGCGGGAATCAAGTAAGTCGTTAATGTATTTTCTGTTTGTTAGCGTTTTTGTGGGCATCGGAATCTTAGAACTACAGTTATTTTAGTTGAAAACATTCCTTTCGATCGATGTTTATTTTTGAAAGGAATCTTGTTTAATTGTGTTACTGTAACTTCTGGCTTTTTTTTTTTTTTTTTTCTGGAGGAACTTGGGATAGAATTTGTTGGACATTTGTTGTGTTATTAATCTCCAGTTTATACAGAATTCCTCCATGTTAGATCATTTCCAAATGTTTATGCACAAGTCATTTGGGCTTGTTTACTTTTTTACCATTCAGTCTTATCTGTCTAGATAAATTTGTCTACATGAAGGATGGTTTGATAGAGATAAAGAGGGAGGGGGGTTGGATTATTATGGGGCATCTCTGGTATTAATCTGTTTAAGGTGGCTTAATGGGGACAAGTGACGGGTCCTGACTTATTCCATATAGCCGCTTTGGCTTAATGGTAACTATTAAGCTGCAAAGGAACACATTATATGGTTTCACCAATAAGCAATCAAGACCGTTAAGCTCATTTGAGCTGCAAGTAAACAGCCCCTAAATCTCCAAAAATATAATTTCATTCAACTCTTAACAACTTTTCGGAGATTTAAAATGTTGTTACTAAAATATTTATAATATAATAAAAAGTAGTTTTTCTCTTTTCTTTTGTTTATTTGGACTATCAAAATGGAGCTTTTGGAAAGTTCTAGAAATATGGAGAAATTCCACCTTCTCCTATTTTCACTATTTTGATGAAGTTGTTGGAGGAAAAAAGAACAAAAAGATTCTAAAAACTTTGTTTTCTTTTTATCTTAGAGAAGTTGTTGGAGATGCTCTTATAGAATCAAAGTATTTTGAGAACAAATAGTCAATGCTCTATTTTGGAGGATTTTAGTAAACAAAAAGGGCACACGGGACTTTATGTAGCGTCCTTGCCACACCAGTCCCAGGGGCCATAAGTCGTTGCGATTTAGTAACAAGTGGTGTTGCCTGGGTTTGAACTCGAGGTGTGCTTATTTTGTGTTATTGCTTACTCATATCTAATTTTTCATTTGTATCTTGCTGGCATTTTTCTGTTTTGCACGCTTTTCACAAAACAAGGGTATTAAACAACTGTTATCCTGCTCTTTAAGGTAGACGCGAACTTTGTTCTTACTCTTAAAAACGTACCAAATATGTTCACACCCTTTCAGCAAATGTTAGTAGGATTACAATCCCTGCTTGATGACGAATTATGTGTTCGGTAACTATTGTCAAATTTCCGAGTGAGGATGGAAAGTGTTTGTGCAAGGTGAAAACACACGTTCAACATCTATTTTGTTCTTTAGCAATTCTCATATGCAATTTCTCCATCTCTTGAGGTAGAGGAATATTTGTGTATATTTTATCTCTCAAATTTTATTTTTGAGTGAGTTATATATAACATCTTCAAACACCACATTTGCGCATAACATATATTTCATTACATAGAAATACAGTTTACACCACAATGGTCCCACTAGTACAAGGATTCTTATATGTACAAAATCTACATATGAAAAATTTCAAAATAAAATCCTATACTACCATGTGTATACAACATGTATCTTCCAAAAATAAGCAATTTCATGCAGATCTTCAAAAGCAGATATTAGATTAGAAAAATAATTACATTTTCTCTTTCCCCTTATTATCCCTGGACCCCATAATTCCTGCATTGCATATTTTTAAAACAGAAAATGAGGGTTAGACCAGAAAGGTCTAGTGAGTAAATTCCTTCTTTGCATATGCAGGGTGATAAACACCAAAATATATTAAAATAACTTTACTCACAAATATCTGCATTTCAATCAAACAATGCAGCTTTCAATATGAATGATAGGATAAACTTATTAGTATCAGATCTTGATTCAAATGCATCTGCTGAAAGATCCAATATTTCAAAATGGAATTAATATTGCAGCCAAAGTCTCTTTGATTCATTAGACTAAAAAGACCAGAATTCATCTGTAAATATTAATGGAAAGATTTAAGGCAATATTTGCCCTTTGTGACAAACCATTTTCCACTTCTCAATAACATCTAAATTATTATTTATAATAAGAATAATATCTCTAATTTATTAGGTCACAAGGAAATGATGATTCAAAGTTATTAAATCCAATTAGTAATAATAATAAGAGTTATAATAATATCCACATATGACAATGTCTCCCTTATTCCAAGTACAACTCTCCTTGATATGTCACATTTGTTCCTCCATCAAAACAGGGCTACTTATCAGAACAGACAAAAGTCACCACGTCTGAAAGTACCAATTCCCAGTTCTAAGTCAGAACAGACAAAAGTCACCACGTCTGGGAGAATTACCTCTTAAAACAAGTTTCATACCAAAACAGATACGTCATCACGCTTGGTAGAAGCAGTTCACAAAATCCAATTCTATACCAAAACAGACTTACGTCACCACGCTTGGTAGGAATGTTTTTCAAAATATAGTTTCATACCAAAACAGACTTACGTCACCACACTTGGTAGAAACATTTCCCAAAATTCAGTTACATACCAAAACAGACTTACGTCACCACATTTGGTAGGAACATATATTTTATTTAAAAAGATATAAAGTACCCATTTTTACAATAGTGTATTTACATCCAAAAATATTATTATTATGTTACAAAATTTCCAAGGATTCTCAACACTTGCAAATTTACATCAAATAATCATTCGAACAAGCAATCCGAACAAGTCCTTTGTCCGATTTATCAAATCCGACAATGCACCCTTGTCCGATTTATCAATCCGGACAACACCCTTGTCCGATTTATAAATCCGGACAATATAAACAAGTCTAAACCGGATAACCTTTAAGCGATTTATGGCTAATCCGTACAACACTTGATCGTATTCTTACTTCTTCGTTCAAAACTTTTGTCTGGTTTACATAATTCAAAATCTCACCAACTTACTAAATCGCACAACACTATGTTTGGTTTACAGCTAAATCAGACAACATCTATCCGATTTAAAACAATCCGTCGGTTTAGAAACAATCCGGACAACACTATGTCCGGTTTATACTTAATCCGGTCACCCATTTATCCAGATAAAACCCAAATCGCACAAACTCTTTTCAAGAATATTATGCGTTCTTTTAAGATGAATAACCAAAACTTTTAAAAGAGATTTTTAGAAATTACTCACCTTATGAGTTTAGAAAGACTGAAATCCCCTTTTTGGCTTCAAGCTTGTAAATCGGACAACCTTTCTCAATTACTCTCAAATTCATAAAGAGGCAAGAAAACCTTGCCTGAAATCCAAACCCTCTTATTTATACTTTCCAAAATAGGAAAGTCGGCCACTTCCCTTCCCCCTTCCACATGCATGCAATTAAACTAAGCTATGCACGTGTAAGTACATACACACATACATGCATATCAATATTATGCATATATATATATATATATATATATATACATACACCCACATATTATGTAAATATCCCTATGCATAAATACACATACTCACATATTAAATTCATGTAATCAATTAATTCACATAATAAATATCTCGGGTGATAACCAGGATCTGGTTATCACATTATAATGGGTTTGATCTAGTTTGGTTTGATGGTTGCTAGAAATGTGGTGGTTTGTGGATGGCGTGTTTGGTCGTAGGACATAATATGATAGGAAATAACAAAACTAATTATCTTAAGTTTCGCATGACATTAGACTCAGATCGTCATTTTAACATTTCTGTTATGTCATGTCTAGTTCACCAAAAAATATAGATGTCAAATCTTATACTAGTATCAAAACACCAAATAGATAATTAATCCAGTTTCGTCCCATCTAGTTCACATATCAAATGCATCCTGAAAATGAGAGGTTGATATAATATACAAAGGGAAAGCTTTTTCATATATGTTTTTCAATAAAGTGTGATCAATAGTTAAAGGTGATGAAAAAGACGATTTACAAAATATCCAAAACAAATGTTCATAATCAACCAAGTATCAATTTGGTTGAGTTATATCAGCAGAACAAAATAAGAAATTTTGATTCATTTGTTGATGAGGTGGCAACTAGTTCGATCTATTCTTTACTGCATATTCAATTTCTTATGTTTAAACAAATGTTGAAAACTCTTATGATCAGTATAAATTTGACATTTAGTCATCAATAGATAATCGCTCCAAATCTTTAAAGAAAAAATTACGATAACAAGCTCCATATTGTGTGTCGGGTACTGTTTTTCATGATCCTTCAATTGTCTGGAAGCATATGTGATAATTTTCCCCCGCTGCATCAATACACATCCCATACCCAACTTCGAAGCATCACTGTAAACTACAAAATCCTCTGACCCATTTGGTAGCGATAATATAGAAGCACTGCATAATCGATCTCTTAATAACTGGAAGGCTTTAATCTGATCATCTCCCCATTCATACTTAACGCTCTTTCTCATCAGCTTAGTCAAAGGTGTTGTGATCCGTGAGAAGTCTTGAATAAATTTCTGATAGTACCCTGCCAAACCCAAGAAACTGCGGATCTTAGTGGATGTTCTTGGTACTTCCCATCTTTCACTGGCCTCAATCTTTGCAGGATCAACCCTTACCCCTGCTCCGGAAACAATGTGACCCAGAAATTGGACTTCTCTTAACCAAAATTCACACTTATACAACTTTGCGTACAATTTCTCCCTCTTTAAAATTCGAGAATCAGACGAAGATGTTCGGTATTCTCAACTTCTAATCATGAATATATAAGAATATCATCGATAAATACAATAACAAATTTATCGAGATATTCATTACATACCCTATTCATCAAATCCATGAACGCTGTTGGAGCATTAGTTAATCCGAACGGCATAACCAGAAACTCATGATGCCCATATCTAATTCGGAAAACAGTTTTAGCAATATCTTCGTCCCGAACTTTCAACTGATGATTCCTGACCGAAAATCGATTTTGGAGAAGTAACTAGCCCCAACTAATTGATCAAATAAATTATCGCTTCTTGGCAAAGGATGTTTATTCTTTATAGTCATCTTATTCAATTCGCGTTAGTTAATACACATTTTCATTGTCTCGTCTTTCTTTTATAAAATGGGAGCACCCCAGGGAGATGTACTTGATCGGATAAAATCTTTGTCAAGCAATCTTTCAACTGGTCACTAATTCTTTCAATTCAGATGGTGCCAAGCAGTATGGTGCTCTGGCCACTGGTGTCATCAATTCTAAATTCA